ATTATCAGTTACTGACTTCCTTACTCCCATCCCCCTACCCACCTTTTAATTTTTTTAGTTCCATTTTTACAAATATACCTTAAATACCTTGACTGCATTTCCCTACCCTTCCTTTCTCCTTTCATCTACTCCCTCCCCTTGACCTACCCTAGTAATGTCTTGTTTTTACCTATTTCTGAGATAGGACCTGTAAAATACTAAAGGGGAGATGATCATGTAGCTCAGTGATAAATACTTATGTAGCAAGCAAAATGCCCTTAAAATCTCTCTCTCTCTTTCTCTCTCTCTCTCTCTCTCTCTCTCTCTCTCTCTCTCTCTCTCTCACACACACACACACACACACACACAATGATAACAGTAAAGCATGCTTCAGAGAGAAGACAGAAATCATTCTAATCCTATATTCCACTATTGACCAGAAATGGGTGACCTTTGTTTATTTAATTAATATTCCTTACAGACATGTTTCATACTGCAAATTTTAATTAGTAATATTGGGAGAGATTTTAGGGGAAAATGTAACGCAATCATCTTAAGAAATTTTATAATTTAAAAATATATCTTGATTATTCTGTGTACCTTTTTCTATTTCCTATGAAATATGTAGAAGATAATCCTTATTATATCTAAAAGTAAAAAAAAACTAATAAAAGCAGGCTGGCTTTTATTTGATTTTTTTAACACTTGACAAAAAGAGAAAAACATTTATATCCTAGTAGAATTTTAAATTTGCATTTTACTTTACTTTATAATGTTTCATAGTATTAACTAGGTGATCTATTGCTGTATATTTACTTAGCAATCTGATCACATACATTCTATGGTTTAAATTTCCATAATTAAAAGATCAAAAGGAAGAAAGTAATATATTTTTGCATAAAATGTTAAATATAAACCACAAATTGCACTAGCTAAAGCAAAATTACTTTTAATGCATGTGCCTGAATTATTTAACATCCATTTTTATATTTTACTTGTACAATTTGAAATTTTATATTTAATTCAGAAAATCAGATGAACTGTATTATTGTATCTCATCTTAGAAACACATGATACTCAATTTTGAGAAGAGTTAAGAAAAAAGAAAGGGTAATAATTTAGGAATGTTGAAAAATGCCAAATAACGAAAGGAAACATTAAAGGACATTTCTTACCTAGGTTTCATGAGAATAGAGTTTCTTATTTGCACTGTGATGATGGTGTCAGAAGTTTGTTATATACATATATATATGTATATATACGTAACTTGCATCTTAATGCACTTGGGATTATAGAAATGAAAATCTCACTGATCCATAGGTCAGTGTTAGTAATCACGTCGCTTACATGGTAGAGTGTTCAATCAAATCCTTCAGGGAATTGCCTGCACTGACATTAGTGTATGTCTATGGAGATATGCATTCCTGAATAATTCAAACTACATGGATTAAAGCTACCCTGTGATAATGAGTTTGGTTGAAGTCATTATGTTGATTTGTCCTCAACAGCTGCTACTGATACAACTCCTATCTACCTACCTGTCTCCCATCTTATCTATCTGTCTATTGTTTGTGTTGGTTTTGGGGCTTTAAGTCAGGGACTGAACATTATCCTCAAATCTTTTTTTTTTTTGCCAATCATTCTACTAGAATCACAACTCCACTTCTGGTTTTTATTTTATTTTTATGGTTAATTGGAGATAAGAGTCTCATGAGCTTTCCTGCTTTGGATAGCCTTGAAATATGATCCTCTAATCCTACCCATGTTAGAAGTTAGGATTATGGGCATGAGCCACCAGTGCCTAGACCTATTTAGTATTATTGCTATTATTAGTATTAGCATTATTATTGTTTTTTTCTGTTTCCTCATATTCTATACATAAAAATATAAATATATAAATATATAAAATATATAAAATCTCAGGATAGTTTGACAGTTTACTGGATCAAGTAGAGTTAATGTAGCTTATTTAAACTACTAATACTTGTAGAGAGAAGTACAGGTATGTTAGGTTCAGTCAGTTTCCTTATTTTCTTCATTATGTGAATTCAGTTCATTTCTATGTACAAAATACTTAGTCAAAATGTGATTTATTTTGTCTGTACTGTATATTACTGGCATTTTTCTCTGGACTGTTATGCTTAGACAAGATTACCTTAATTTTTAAAGGTAATAGTTCAACTGTATGCTCATAAGTTTTATTCATGCTTTCATAATAATATATTATAGAAAACAATATATTAAAGAAAAATACAATGTATTAAAGAAAGAATTGATAAGCTTGATACACTAAAATGGAAAACATCTGTAAAAACCAATTCAGAGGTTTTCTCTTCTTAGGAAGATAATACATGGGCTATGAAAAAACATTGACAATGCATATTTCTGGTTAAAAAAAATACCCACTAGGATCCAATTTGTTAAAAGAATGAACAAAATGATGGAGAATTTAATTTTAAAAGGGAAAAATACCCAGAAGTGGGATTGCTGGGTCATAGGGGAGCTCTATGTGTAGTGTTTTGAGGTACCTCCATCCATATTGCTTTTCTGAGTGGTTGAACAAGCCCTTCAGTCAATGAATATATATATATATATATATATTCATTATATATATATATATATAAATTGGAATAGTGCAATGTATATATCTATATCTATATATATCTATATATATGAATTCTATGCCTCCATCAGAAAGAATAACACCACCCCATTTGTTAGGAAATGGAAAGACTTGAAAAAATTATATTAAGTGAAGTAAGCCAGACCCAAAGAAATATAGGTCCCTTGGTTTTCCTTATTTGCCATAACTAGTATATGTCTAGGATAATCTTACAAGACAAGCAGAAAAGCTCAAAAGCTATAAGATAAGATACTAAGTATAAGATGATGCTAAGTGAAATGAACCCCAAGATATGGACACAAGAGGTTAGTCTTCCTTCCTTCCTTCCTTCCTTCCTTTTTTTTTTTGGTGGTTGTAGGCCTGAACTCTGGGCATGGGCGCTATCCTTCAGCTCAGCTCTTCAGCTCAAGGCTAACACTCTACCACTTGTGCCATAACACCACTTCCAGCTTTTTCTGCTTATGTGGTGCCAAGGAATCGAACCCAAGGCCTCATGCATGCAAGGCAAACACTCTACCACTGAGCCACCTTCCAAGCCTATTGTTGTTGTTGTTTTTAATGTACAACGTGATTTTTTTTGTTTCCTTTGTATGTTCTTCCTCATATGCTATTTCCTCAGCTGTGATTGTATTTGATACCCTGCATCTTGTATATATATTTGTCTAATTTGGGGAGGAGAAGGGGAATAACAAAATGCTGAAACACGGACACAAGATGACCTATTGCAACAATAATACCCACAAGAGACTATACTGGAAATGAACTATACAACTTTGGGGTGGGGGGAGGAATGAGGGAGATGGAGGAGGGAAGGGATAGTGAGAGAACAACAAAGGAGGAGCTAACAGTGCTCTACAAGAAATGGACTCATTGCCTTATCATGTAACTGTGACCCCTCTGTACAGCATCTTTACAGTAAAATAAAATTTAAAAGAGCAAAATATCAAACAAAACAACAGAGAAGCAGGGAATTATTGGCTTATACCTGTAATCCTAGCTACTCAGGAGGCTGGAGTTTGAAGCCAGATCAGGGAGAAAAGTCAATGAGGATCCAGTTCCAAATGCAGTTGGATTGCAGTGGTAAAACACCAGCCATGGCAAGAAAGCTGAGCTTCAAAGAGCCTTAACTTCATGGCTTTGTATTGGCAGGGACATACACTCAAATACATGAAGTACGTATTAGATGGTGTCAAATTTCTTGGCAATAATTATAATGCTACCACGATTATCTATGGAAATGCCTTCGCTCTTTGAAATGTTTGTTGGAATAGTTATTTCTAGATTGTCTTGAGGTCATCAACTGTATGACAGTTTTTAATCTTGCTTAAAATTAATTTTATCAACTACATGATTTTCTGGCTTCTCCAAATTTTGAAATTAATGTCAGGTAAAATGTAATTGATCCATGTTTCTCTTGAATCTCTACCCTGTGTCTGTCTCTTCTACTTCATCATGAATTTCCATGCTTTTACCAAACATTGTATGATATCATATTTATGGCCATCATTTATTTAGTGTCCCGAGTTCAGTTAGAGAGCACCATCTTTATTTTTTGTTGGTGAATTGTAAATTTTAAGTAGGTTTGCAGAGATGATAAAGTGTGTAATTTCTTAATAATATTGAAAAATCATAACATGTACAACTGAAAAGTTATTTGAAATTAAATTAATGTATGGGCATTAGAACATAAAGGATCACAAATACAAGAAGTATTAAGAGATAAGAATGTAGCAGTTACCATTTACTAGATGCAAACATAATACTTTTCTGAAGTAAACATAAATGTTGAGATCTATTGATTATATGATGAGGAGGGAGAATTCATTCTACTCATTATTTTCTGTGTTGTTTGCTCATCTGTAAACTTGTTTAAGTGCTAAAGCTGATTTTTATTTTGATGGCCACATGAAAATAGGCAATTTCATATCCAAACCCCATGAACTTTAATGGTATATATATATATATATATATATATATATATATTCATTTCCTAGACTAAAGTCAAGATGGAAATCTAATTGGAGCATACACTTTACTTACCATGGATATTGTTTTTTAACAATTCAGATTAATATCTGAAAATTTCTAATGTGTCTGAGACTTTAAGATTGCATTACAATGTTAAGAATTTAATCAGCTACCTCTATATATACAAACTCTTATTCCTTGGATTTTATGACTATTTCAAAAATTGTAACTCAGAAAAATTTCTTTACTCCTGTGTGTCTTTTAAAGTGTATTTGACCAAAATCTCTTCTTGTAGAATTAAACTAAAATATTATCGTGCTTTAGTAAGTTACTATTTGAATAGTAGAATTTTCTACTTTGTCCTTATATGTCATTTAGGCAAAAGTATTTGTGAATTAAAATCACTTTTCCAAGAACTATCATACTTATTTCAGAATGTCAAAAATCTTTTATTGTTTGTTATTCTTCTTATAACATTGGTTACTTCTTTATTTCTAAGACTATAAATGAAAGGATTTAACAGAGGAATTATTAGAGTATAAAAAACAGCAACAGCTATGTCTTTATCCCCTTCATTAACTGAATTTGGCTGAACATACACAAAGAGCAGAGAGCCATAGAACATTGACACAGAGAGGAAGTGGGATGAGCAGGTAGATAAGGCTTTGCTTCTCCCTCCCTTGGATTGCATTGTGAATATAGTGAAAAGAATATAGAAATATGATATTAGGACTACTGTCAAAGTAAAGATTTGAATTAAACCTGCCAAGATAAGTATCATCAAGTCATTAATATAAGGATCAACACAGGAGAGTCTGTATAAGGGAAGGACATCACAAAAAAAGTGATTGATTTGATTTAACCCACAAAATGTTAATCTAAACAATAACCCTACGTGAACGATGGAATGCAGGTTTCCAATTATGTAGGCTCCCGTGGTCATGAGAGTGCAGAGTTTCTTGGACATCCTGGTGTGGTACTGCAGTGGGCTGCAAATGGCCACGTAGCGGTCATAGGCCATTGCTGCCAGAAGAAAGCAGTCTACAGTTTCAGCAAGACAAAGAAAATAAAACTGAGCCATGCATTCATAGAGAGAGATCCTTCTTTCCTTTGAAATCAAGTCCTCCAACATCTTTGGAGTAATGGCACAGGAGCAGCAGGAATCCATGAGAGCCAGGTTTCCCAGAAAGATGTACATTGGTGTGTGAAGACGACGTTCCATGTAAATCAATGCCACCAATCCAAGATTCCCCACCATGGTGACCAGATAGATGACAAAGAACACGATGAACAGCAGGGTCTTCAGGTGTGGCTGATCTGTGAATCCTATGAGGATGAACTCAGTTGTTGAGGTGTAGTTTCTCTCTGGCGACATCATGACCTAGTTTGTGAAGACAGGAGTTAGGAAGACATAAAATCTAATTGAAGGATATCTTTTACTCAATTTCCTTTTTATGACAGAGAAGTTTTTTTTTTTTTGCTTGTCCCCTCCCCCAACATCCTCTGGTGTATATTTCTTGAATACTTGTTGTCTTAGTGTATCAATGGTTTCCAAGTGTGACAGTTAAATTTCACAAAGGTACCTTTGAAAATTCCTGAGAAGATGCTTAAAGAGCAAAAAGGTATTTTTTGTTTTTGTTGTTGTTGGTTGCGGGGCCTGAACGCTGTCCCTCAGCTCCTCAGCTCAAGGCTAGCTCTCTACCACTTGAACCACAGTGCCACTTCTGCCTTTTTCTGCTTATATGGTGCTGAGGAATCGAACCCAGGGACTCATACATGCAAGGCAAGCGCTCTACCACTGAGCTACCTTCCCTGCCCCCAAAAGTGCACTTTTATATCCTTGTGAAAGTACAATATAAAAATATAGGAAAACAAAATTGGTTTGCTTTTCCCAAATAATTACACTGTCATTTTTAAAAAGATTCTCTAAGACAAAGTTATTTTCAACTTTTCTAGACATAATTATTATCTTTTTTTACAGAGTTTACCATTTTTATATATTCTCTAAGAAAACATTTTGCATCTGCAGAAGCTACATCTAAAATGTGTGGGGACAGAGGGACATGGTAAATTATACAGGACTCTAGGCAATCACACACTGAGAACAAAGGAGGATACTGTTTGTCTGTTTGCTTGTTTTGGAGGGGTATGTGCATGTGTGTGCCAGTACCGGGACTTGAACCCAGGGCATCCCACACTTGCTTGCCTTTTTCTGCTCAAGGCTGGCACTCTACCACTTGAGCCATACCTCCACTTCCACAAAGGAGGATACTCTTAGGAGAGAAACACAAAGGCACAATGCCTATGTGCATCTGACCACATAACATAATATCCATTGAAATAAACTCCACTAAATGGAAACAGAGGTTTCTTTCTTTGTTGCTGTTTTTGTATTGTTTGCTTTTTGTCTTGTTTATCTGTCTTTGGGAGGATAAGGGAAGCCACAGAAATGGAGGGATAAAGGGTAAAGAAATGCAGCACTGCTACTCACTAGACACTATGTTGAGAATGAACTATATAACTTGTGTGTGGGGAAAGAAGGGAAAAACTGGGAAAGAGGGAAGAAGTGACATTGTTGAAAAAGAAATGTACTCTATCCGATTTATGCAACTGTAATCCCTCTGTATATCACCTTTATAATAACAATAAAAATAAACTTTAAAAAGAGAAAAAATCTTTTAGACACATGTTAAATAAGTATTGAAAGAATAATAAAGTTAAAAGAAACTGTAAGGGCTATTATTCATCTTTAAAGATAATTACTTTGGAAAGCTAGAGAAATAAATGCTCATATATTTTCCCTCTGCTCTATTTCTGCACTTGACCCCATTTTTATAAGTACTGAATCAGTCCATGTTACAATTCTCAATCTCACTCTCACTCTCTCTCTCTCTCTCTCTCTCTCTCTCTCTCTCTCTCTCTCTCTCTCTCTCTCTCTAGAGGGGGGTTCTGTTTCTTGGGTTTGGGCTCAGGACCTGGGAATTGTCCCTGAGCTTTTTTTTTGCTCAAGATTGGTGTACTACCAATTCAGTCACAGCTCCATTTCTGGCTTTTTGGTAGTTTATTGGAAACAAAGGTTTCATGGGTTTTCCTGCAGGCTTGTTTTGAATTCCGATCCTCAGACCTCACCCTCTTGAGTAGCTAGGATTATAGATGTGAGCCACTGGCTGCCAGCCTGGTTTTCTTTCTTTTCTTTCTTTCTTTCTTTCTTTCTTTCTTTCTTTCTTTCTTTCTTTCTTTCTTTCTTTCTTTCTTTCTTTCTTTCTTTCTTTCTTTCTTTCTTTCTTTCTCTTTCTTTTTCTTTCTTCTGCTCTCTTTCTCTTTCTCTCTCTCTTTCTTCCTCTCTCTCTCTTTCTTTCTTTCTTTTTTCTTTCTCTTTCTTTCTTCCTCTCTCTTTCTCTCTTTCACTCTTTCTTTCTCACTTTCTTTCTTTCTCATTTTCTCTTCCTTCCTTCCTTCCTTCCTTGTTTGCTTTCTTCCTTCCTTTCTGTTTTTCCTTTCTTTCTTTCTAACAAATGCATCACTTCCTCTTTGTAGGGGCATAGACAGGCACAATACTCTGTAATAAAGTTATGTTCTAACACATACCAATTCCATTTTCTGGTTTATGGATTGTATCTTCTAAGTTCAGGACAATTCTAAGATTTTTTTTTTTTTTAGAAAAGGAACCAAAAGTCAACATTGTAATTTTCTTTGATTAAATTTGCACTAGTTTATTGTTAAATATGTAGAAATCATTTTCTTATAAATGTCTTCAGGTTTGTTTTTGGATAATTCTGAGAGATCATTCTGCAAGCTGCAGTGATGAAGCCCGTGGGCGCATGGCTCAGTGACAGAGCAGTTCTGTAGTAGGCCTAGCAGTGACAGAGCAGTTCTGTAGTAGGCCTAGCATCCATCCTGTACATGCTCCAGACCAGTAGGCATATCCCATACACAAACAATGACGACACATTGTGGGGAGAAGATGTAAAGCATTCCAATCCTCCATCTCCTTATTGACCAGGGATCAGGGACTTTGTTTTCTCTTTTCAGCTAATGCTCTTTAGTGACTTGGTTGAATCTAAACTTTTTGACAATTAACTTTGGAGAAGTTTATAAGGGAAAATTTCAATATAATCACCCTAAGAGATTATACTTTCTTTTACCTATACTATTTTTTTCTGCTTTTCTATTGTTTAAAAAATGAAAATTGTATAAGATAATCTGCAGTGGCTCATATCTATCATCCTAGCTGCTTGCGAGGCTGAGATTTGAAACCATCCCAGGCAGGAAAGCACTTGAGACTCTTATTTCTAATTAACTGCCAAAAAAGTTGGAGGAGAAGCTGTGGTTCCAGTGATAGAATGCTAGCCTTGGCTAAAGATGCCAAGGCTCTGGGTTCAAGCCCTGGGACTGGGACACACACACACACACACACACACAACGATAATCTGCATTATGCCATTTAGTCAAGTAGCTAACAGGCTGATCTTTGTTAATGTATAAAAAATAAAAAGGTTTGTTTTGTTTTTGCTTTTTGTTTTGTTCTTGTTGGTTGTGAGGCTTGAACTCTGGGTCTGGGCACTGTCCCTGAGCTCTTCTGCTCTCTACCACTTGAGCCACAGACAAAGGACAAGGGGAGAACTAAATGCAGCAGTGATATACACAAGACAATATGTTGGAAGTGATCTGTACAACGTGGGAGGGGGTTGGTGGGGAGGGAAAGAGGAGAAAAATGAGAGGAGGGGTAAGAAGTTTGTAAGAAATGTAATTATTACCTTCCTCATGCAATCATAACCCCTCTGTATATCACCCTGACAATAAAAAAAAAAGAATTGTGAAAACAAAGCCAAAAAAAATAAATAAAAGATAGCTGGGCACCAGTATCTCATGCCTGTAATCCTTGCTTCTCAGGAGGCTGAGATCTGAGGATCACGGGTCAAAGTCAGCCTGGGCAGGAAAGTTCGTGACACTCTTATCTCCAATAAACCACCAGAAAACCAGAAGTGGCACTATGGCTCAAGTGGTAAAGCACTTGCCTTGAACTAATGAGCGAAGGGACAGCGCACTGGCCCAAAGTTCAATCCTCACAATTCTCTCTCTCTCTCTCTCTCTCTCTCTCTCTCTCTCTCTCTCTCTCTCCATATATATATCTATAGATTTATATTTATATCTATCTATCTATCTATCTATGAAAAAAGGAGTAAACCATTTACATCCTGATAGAATTCTTAATAGAATAGGTTGTTTCATCTTAAGTAACTTATTGTTAGATATGAATTGAATAATACTATCAAATGGATTTTATTTCCATAGTTAAATGACCAAAGGAAGACAATGGAAAAATGTTATCAAAAAATTAAAATCATGAACTGAGTGCCAATGATTCATAATTTTAATCCTAACTACGAAGAAAACTGAGATCTGGAGGATGATGATAAAAACACAACCTCGGAAGAACAGTTTCCTAGACATCATTTACAAAATAACCAGAAAAACAGAGAATTGGAGACATGGCTCAAGTGTGAGGCTGTGAATTCAAATCCCAGCTATGCCAAATACATATACACATAGATACATACATACATGCATATATTAAATTTTTTATATTATTCAGAAAAAGAAGATGAATTTCAGTATTGTATCTCATGCTAGAATCGCATGCCACTTTATTTTTAGCAGAGCTAAGTTTATGTTAAAGGAGTTTAAATTTAGAATATTCTAAAAAATAAATGATTTCAAAAAGTAAGTAATAGTGATAGTTAAAACTAACAAATTTCTTACCTTTGTTTCACAGAGAAGAGGTTTTGTCAGTAAATTGCTTGCTTTATGGTGAAGGCATCAGACTTTTAATGTGTACATGCACCTTGCTACTCAACACATTTGCGATGAAGAGAGTGAAAATCTCAGAGATGACCCACTGGTCAGTGTTGGAAATCATGTCTCTTTCTCTGCAAAGTTAAATTGTTCGTCAAATACTAAAGGGAATTCACTGTAATGACATCAATGTATTTCTGTGGAGATGTCCTAAAAATAAAAACCACATGAAATTAATTAAGATGACTTGAGATAGGGAGGATAATGTAATTTTACTAAAGTTTGTTTGGGGCCCATTTGGTTAATTTGCATAAGCTATTATTATTTCCTCCTCCTCCTCCTCCTCCTCCTGCTCTTCCTCCTCCTTCTTCCTCCTCTTTCTCCTTTTCCCCCTCTTCCTTTTCTTTACTCCTTCTCCTTAATTTTCTTCATCATTTTCATTAAATTAACAGCAAACGCATTGTTTGCTGTTACCTTTTTGACCCCTCACTAGATAGAATGCAATTAATACAGTTTACGAAAAAAACTTAGTATTCAAAAAGGAAATTGGAAGGTGAGTTAGAGCTATCAAAAACATACATA